GGGGGAGGGGGGGGAGGAGGGGAGGACGGAGGACGTGGTGCCAAAATCTCACCAGCATCGTTCCCATCAGCATGGAAGTGAGGGCGACCATGATGGCTCGGTCCTGCCTCATGTAGTAGGTCCACAGGCCAGCACATGTTCCTGTTATCAGCCCTCCTAACATGATCATCATGACAAGGACTGCTCCTGTCACATCGTAAGCTATCAATGCCTCCACCCCTGTCATCTGGAAGCGCTCCCATGCATCCCTGGCTGCCTTATTGAATGGCTTTCCATCCAGCGCCGCCTACATCATCATTATCGCCATTAATTATAGCAAATCACAAATAAACGTCATTCACCAACATGCTTTTTTTTTTTTTTGGGGGGGGGGGGGGGGGAGAAGGTGTCCTAAGGGATCCTTGGCTGATCACACTGCATCCGATGTCATCACCTTTCTTTTTTGTTTTTTGCCTATGTCTTCTCTACTTGGCTGGAATGAGTCAAATCTGCCCTTAAAACCAGATAATCTTCACTTAAAATACAAAAAGTATATACATATTTAAATAATATTTTTGCAAAAAGAGAACTTAGTGTTGAGATCAGGAGAGCCCATCAGTTTCCCCACACGCAAATATCCAACCAGTTGCTCCATCTTCTCCTCCTCCCTTTTTCTCCTCCTCCTTTTCCCTCTTTCCTCACCAAGTTCTGTTCCTGTGTGTAACCCTGGCACCGTAAAAAAAAAGGGAAAAGAAAAAGTTCCAAAAAAACTTCCAATCTGCAAAGTGAAGGATCGTTGGCAGATCATCAACAGATCACCACCACGTCAAACCAACAGTAATTGGCCCAGCCATTTTTCTTCGACGCGGCCGTTGACGTGCTGCAAGTTTCAGGGCTCGGCTACTAGGGCAAAATGGCTGGCATCACGAGTCAAAAAAAAGTTGCACTGGTTCAGTTTTTTTTTGGCGAGCAGGGCGTTTCGAGGCTTGGCAAGAGATGGATAAAAGAAAGTAGTACTGGTAGTTTAAGACATCATGAGAGTCCAGTTACATGCAAGGAAAAAAAAAAAAAAAAGACTCATGCAAAGACAAAGCTGTGACAGTTCGGGCTCAAAGAAGACAAAAGATGGTGGCAAAGACAAACCCCGGGATGGAAAGAAAAGAGAACCGGGGCTATGTGTGAAAAAGGGACTATTGGGAGGAGGAGGAGGAGGAAGAGAGAAGGACACAGAGGAGAAGCAGCAGCAGCAGCAGTGACAAATGAAGAAGAAGAACAAGGAGGCGGCAGCGGAGGATGATGATGATGAGGAGGAGGAGGAGGAGGGGGTTCTTTTCCCTCTGTGTGGAGTATCAATCAGGGTTCTGAGAAGTTTGAGGCCACAGAGGACTCAGCTCTTGAACTCACAGAAGACTGCACCTGCCCAAGTTTCAGACATAAACATGAGCCATGTTCTCCTTTGGCCCCGTCTACCGATATCCCTGATAGACCTTGTCACGATTGACTTCAATGTGGTGAAGGGGGGGAAAAAAATAAATCAATGTGGCAGGATTCCATAGCAAATGCTGGGGCAAGTAGGAGGTAAATTGAGAGCGTTAGTATGGACTCGTCAATACTACCTTCTTCCCCCGAATACAATGTACAGTCATTATAGCTGTATTTGACGCATCAGTCTAGATACATCTACTGTCATCTAGAATGACCGTACGTCGTATTCGGGGGAAGAAGGTAGTAGTACAGTACAGGGTGGCAACAAGGGCTCAACGAGGTTACGGGGTTCAGAGTAGAACCTGGGGAGATCATGAGGGGTAGAAATAACAATGGGGGAGATCATGAGGGGTAGAAATAACAATGGGGGAGATCATGAGGGGTAGAAATAACAATGTGAAGAAGGATGTGAGGAAAGATAGAATTAGTTAGGGGACCAGCTACAGTGAGTAGGAAAAGGACGTTGTGGGCGTAACTAGCAGAACTGGGTAAGAAGGTTGGACAGCAATTTAGCGCTTGAAACAGTCTGAATTGGGATAGGCGAGGTTGTGGGCAGAGCCGAATGGTAATACGGGATGGATGAGGCACTGTATGAGGTAGAAACAGGATAAAGACAGCTGTTATGCAGCCTGAGGAACTGTTAGGGACAACTTCCCCCGCCTTGGAGGTCACCCTGC